CAGAATTAAAATTCTTTCTGCAAAGAAAACTCTAGAACCAGAAGGCTTTCCTGATGAATTCTTTCAAAAATTTATGGAAGAAATAAGGCCAATCTTGCATGAACTCGTCCTGATAATTGGAGAACACTTCCGAAACTGTTTTATGAGGCCAGCATAATCTTGATACCCAAATCTAACAATTCATTTCAAAAAAAGGGAAAATTATAGATCAATGTCTCTCATAAATACTTAAAAAAATATATTGGCAAATAAATCCACCAATATCAAGAGAATAATACATCATGACAAGTGGGGCTTATTCCAGGAATAATATGCTTAACATTTGAAAATTAATGAAATTCACAAATGATCAACTCAACAAATGCCAAAGAACTTTTTGATACAATTCAACATCTTTTCATGATGAAGTAAAAAACCTTACAAACTAGGAGGAGAGATAAACTTTCTTATTTTGGTAAAGGGTATCTATAAAAAAACCCTACAGCAAACATCAAATTTAATGATAAAATATTAGAAGATTTCTCTCTGAGACGTGGAACAAGACAATGATGTCTGCTATTGCCACTTCTATTCAACATCATTTTGGTGACCTACAGAGATCCTTGCTAGCACAATAAGGCAAGAAAAAGAAATAAAAGCTATTAAGGTTTGGAAAGAAAGAAATTAAACTGTCATTATTCATAGATGGCACGATCATATATGTAGAAAATCCAAAAGCATCAGTAGATAAGTTATTAGAATTAATAAGTGTTATAAAGAAGTTATTAGAATAAAAGTGTTATAAAGTTATAGGAACCATGACAGTATGTATTGACACAAGGAAAATCAGAATGATGGAAAGTAAAAGAGAATCCAGAAATAGATTATGCAATGGGCATGTAAATAATGAAAAGACAGTTCTACAGAGTTATGGAGGAAAGTATAGTCTTTTCAATAAATGATTCTGAGTCAAATGAATATAAATATGGAAAAATGAATGAATTCTGATCTGACTTCACAATATATACAAAAATCAATTCCAGGTGGGTTGTACATCTAAAAGCATAAGGTAAAACAATAAAGCTTCTAGAAGATAATATAAAACACTATCTTCAAGTTCTTGGGAAAGGCAGAGATTTCTTAAATAGGACCAAAAACGACTACCCATAAAGGAAAAGGTTCATGTACTGGGCTACATTAAAAGATTAAAAACATGTTCATCAAAATACACCATTAGAGATTAGACAGGAACCTTAGGGGGCAGTGAATTTATGTTAATGGTGGAGGAACAATTCAGAAAAGGATGGTGAGAATGGTTACACAACTCAAAGAACGTAATCAATGTCACTAAATGGTACATGTAGAAACTGTTGAATCAGTGTATGTTTTGCTGTGTATATTCTCAACAACAACAAAATAAATAAAATTATATTTAAAAAAATACACCATTAAGAGAGTAAAAATAAAAGCCATACATGAGATATTTGCAATATACAACTGACAAAACACTAATATTCAGACTATATAAAAAACAACTACAAATCAATAAGACAAAGGGAGACAATATATTTTTATAATGAGTAAAAGGACACAAACAGACACTTCACAAAAGATGATATCCAAATGGCCACTAAATACTTCAGGAGCAAGGGAAAATGAAGAAAACAAGATACAAGGGAAAGATTAGTCCAAAGGACTAATGGGTCACAACTACTACGGCCTCCACCAGACTGAGTCCAGTACAACTAGATGGTGCCCGGCTACCATGACTTGACTGCTGTGATAGGGATCACAACAGATGGGCCCAGACAGAGCTGGAGGAAAATGTAGAACAAAATTCTAATTCACAAAAAAAGACTAGACTTACTGGTCTGACAGAGAGTGGAGAAACCCCAAGAGTATGGCTCCCGGACACCCTTTTAGCTCAGTAATGAAGTCACTCCCGAGGTTCACCCTTCAGCCAAAGAATAGACGGCCCCATTAAACAAAACGAGACTAATGGGGCACAACAGTCCAGGGACAAGGACTAGAAGGCAGGAGGGGATGGGAAAGCTGGTAATAGGGAACCCAAGGTTGAGAAGGGACAGCGTTGACATGCTGTGGGGTTGTTAACCATTGTCATAAAACAGTATGTGTACTAACTGTTTAATGAGAAATTATTTGTTCTGTAAACCTTCATCTAAAGTACAATTAAAAAAAGAAAAAAAAATGACCACTAAATATATGAAAAGGTGTTCACCAAGGAAATGCAAATTAAAACCATAAACTACCACTACATGTTCAACAGACTGTCTAAAATTAAAAAGACTGACAATAGAAAGTGTGGACAAGAATGTGAAGCAAATGGAACTCTCATACATTGTTAGTGAAAGTATAAATTGATACAAACACTTTGGAAAACTGTTTGGTATTATCTACTCAAGTTGAATGTACACAAGACTCAGCAATTCCACTCCTAGTTATATACCCAACAGAAATGCTTATATATGTGCACCAAACCACATTTACAAGAATGTTCATAGCAATATATCGTAACAATCCTGATTGAGAAGGGGAAAAAATCAGCTGTAGAAAAGATAAATGGAACTAGTGAAAATGAATGAAACACTGCTATATGAAATAACATGGCTGAATCCCATAAAGGTAATGTTGAGTGAAAGAAGTCAGACACAAAAGAATATATACTGTGTGGTTCCATTTAAATAAAGTTCAGAAAAAAAAAAAAGGTAAACTAAGCTGGTGTTAAGACAGTGGTTACCTATAGGGGAGGAGGGAGTGTTAGTGACTGGAAGAAGGCAGAAGATGGGCTTCTGAGATGCTGGTAGATCCTATTTCTTGAGCTGGGTGGTCATTACATAACGTCCACTTTGTGAAAAATGCATCTAGCTATACACTCATGCTATGTGCACTTTTCTGTATGTAGTTATTCTTCAATTTTAAAATGCATTTAAAAATCTTGAAGATAAAGGTGAATGAGTCTTTCATAAACTATCAAAGAAATACAAAAATAATAAAAGCAACAAGGCACTCAAAAAAACCAGAAAGGTATAAAAGAGCATCAAGGACCAAACAGGAGGAAACATTAGCAACTTAAAGTTCCAGAGGAACAGAAGAGAGTTCACTCATTATTAGGAATGTCTTCCTTTAAATGACCCATTTAACCAATGAACAACATATGGAAGATTTGGTTACAGCTGCAGGACAGAATATAAATGTTAACAATCTTTGCAATGTAAAAATAAATATGTAGCTAAAAGAGAAAAGCTGGAAGAAAGAGTATGGGGGTGGTTTAAGGAGAGACAAGACACTGTCTCAAACTGATAGAACAAGAAACCAAGATACGAGATTAAATAGGTAACAACAGATTTGCTTCAAAATATTACAGGAGTAAGAGAAGTAGATAGAAGAAACAAGACTGGCCAAGTATTAATTGTTTTAATTGGGTAATGGATACAGGGTTTTTCTTGTATATACCTTCTCCCTACTTATCGACTATCTCGTTATCCGTCATTTCACATTAAGGACAGTAGTAAAAAATCTACTATCTGACTATTTTGCACGTTAACGACCCCTCTGACCAGCAAACTCTTGACCCCACACCCTTGTCACGTACAACTCCTGTGGGCGCACAGAGGGAGGAATGATGCCACCGCTGGGGTATTTAACCCCAGTATGGAACCTGTGGGGCATCCGATGCTCCAGTTCCTCCCAGCTAGTGCCTCCCCTCTCTCCTCCTGGATCACTGGCCAGCGGGCACTGGGAGAAGGGCATGGGCAGTGGGCGGCCCTCGCCTCTGTGGAGCTGCCCACTGGCCAAGGCCGCTGCGCACTGCTCAGCCCATGCTGCCCTGCTTCCCACACCCAGTGCACTGCAGAGCGCAAGCTAGGAGCCCACAGTTGGATTCAGATTCCGGTGAGCAGAGTGAGCGCGAGCCCATGACCACTGCAAGTAGAAAGGGGCTGCAGTGCCCAGCTGAGAGGGCTGGGGCTGGGGAGGAGTGGCGGCCAGGGCAGGAAATCCTAAGTATTTCATATAATGCCGATTTTTGCCTAACAACTTGATCTTTGGAACCTAACCATGTCCATAAGTGAGGAGAAGGTGTACTATTCTGCCTACTTTTATTTATGTTTTCAATTTTCCATAATAAAAAGTTTTTTTTTTTTCCTTTTAAGAAAGGTAATCAAGAGAAGAACAAAACAATATACCTGTCAAACACTGGAAAGAAAAAGGAGGGAGGGAGGTAATTAAGTATTTCATTAAAAAAGTGACCCCTACGGTCAACTATGAGTCCGAATCTACTCGATGGCAACGGGTTTGTGCCCCATTGAGTTTCAAAGGAGCACCGGCTGGATTTGAACTGCCAACCTTTTGGTTAGCAGCCCTAGCTCTTAACCACTACGCCACCAGGGTTTCCATGGTTTCATGGGCAGGAATAAATAAAATCAAAAATTGAGAAACAAACCTACAAATATTATTCAGAGTTATGGAGACAACTAGAAACAGTTACAAAGGGTTGCCTCTGAGAAGTCAAATTGGGAGTAGGAGGTGTAAGGGATGGTAATCTTTTTCACCATAAGCTTTCTTCAAAAAATCGGTCATTTTAATTATTTTTAATTAAAAATGATTTTGTTTTAAAGACTGATAAAATGCTTAATAGAAAAAAACAGTGGCAGTTAAGATGTTTTAATCATTCATACTTTAAATAAACAATTAGCCCCAAAACAGAGGGGTTTACAATGTATTTTAAAGAATACTACCAAATATTCTAAACAATATTCTTAAATACATTGTTCATTTTTAGATTATGCTATCTTAAAATGAAAATAAGTTATCCCACCAAATTATGTGCTAATTTAAACTAAAGTAATAATTTAATCAATAATTAAAACTTTGGCGTCATTAAAAATTATTCTTGTATTTTACTATGACAATCCAAGATCCAAGGAAGTCAATTTATCATATTTTTAAGCTGTCAAGTTTTATTAAAAAGCTAATGACAACGTACAATAAAATTATCTTACCTCCTTTTCTTCACCAACTTGGTCCAAACTCTCATGACTTGAAGGATTATATGGAATTACTAAAAACCCAATCACAAACAAATGAAAAAAAAGGAAAACAAGATAGCATCCATTAACCGAGTTTAACATAAAAATTTTCTCAATTTGATTTTGTTTTATTTTTTAATAAGTCTTCATTATTTAAAATTAAACACCTGTCCCAGTAACAACAAACTGCATTTAAGTGTAAGAATCAAATTGTAATCTTTAGCAGGAGTAAAGGGAGCAAGGACAAGTCTGGTAGCCAAGTAGTGGTTTTAGAAAATATTTTTCCTATTTTTTAAACATGTCCCCTCTTTATAAATTAATTAAACAACTCATTTTATAAGAGTGACTCTGTAAGCGCTATTTAATTATTTTAGTATGACTTTTCACTCCCTTCATACTCAAAATACTACTACATAGAACAAGTAAAGAACTGACAAAGATGGGACTCTAGGCTACTCCTGGAAGCTACTCAGGACAGAAAGGCCTGTTTCATATACTCAGCTTCTTCCAAGACCCAGAGACTGCATTCTGTCGTTCCAGAAAAACTCTCTTGCCTTCCCTTTCCTGATTCAGCCCTGCTTAGGGTGCTCTGCCTCCTTTAATTGATCTCAAAGTTTCCAGAGAGGTATTTAAGGTTTTGCACATATCTGACATTTTAACTCATATGATCTATTTTTCATTTTCTAGACTGCATTTTTTATATCTTTTACATAATTTCTACTTCTAATAATAAAGCTTGTAATAAAAACAGGGCACTTGAACACTGTCATAATATTAGTATACTTAACCCTCAAGATCAACTTTATATTTTCTCATTATTGAAAAAAAAATAGGTTTGCTGAATTTAAAGGGATTTCAAAAGAAATTTATCTAAAGTAGAGAAAACACACTTTAGTTTACATAGTTGTATTTTAAAATGTCAACTGTGACTGATCTTACCACTGCAAAGTATGGTTACCTGCTTTTATTTGGAAGAACAGAGTCACCACAAGAAGCGATGTTAATGAACAACAGTTCATGCCAGCATCATTCTTACCTGTCTGTGCATGGTCTGAATGCATGCATGACTGATCCATGGGCATCACTGGTTCCTACAAAAGTTTCCAGAGATAAAATAACCCAGTGAATTCTTTTAAAATTCCAATAGCTTTACAAATCCAGAAGCAACATTATTTCAATGAGATACCAAAACCTGTTGCCGTCGAGTTGATTCCAACTCATAGCAACCCTACGGGACAGAGTAGAACTGCCCCTTCGGGTTCCAAGGAGCAGCTGGTGGATTCCAACTGCCGACCTTTTGGTTAGCAGCCATAGCTCTTAACCACTACACCACCAGGGCTCCCATTGAGACACAGCATATAAAAACTTAAATTTGAAAAATATAACTTGTTACTGTATTTAGTTTACTTTAATTTCATTATATGAAACCATACAATATTTTTGTGAATGAGGAAATGCCACAGTGGTGCAATGGTTAAACACTCAGCTGCTAACCAAGGGGTCAGTGGTTCAAACCCACCAGCTGCTCTGTGGGAGAAAAGACCTGGCAATCTGCTTCTGTAAAAATACCAGCCTAGGAAACCCTATGAGGCAGTTCAACTATGTCCTATAGGGTCGCTATGAGTCAGAATCAACTCAATGGCACACAAAAACAACAAAAACACAATATTTTTGAGAATGAGGTAATGTTTAGTCACATTTTACAGATAACAGAAAAACCACAAAACTAATTTTTGACCATCAAAGAGAAATCAAATCATACCTCAAACAAAACTCCTATATACTCTGACATATTTCTCTTCCATAGTACCATTCTTCCTTTGAGCCCCATATGCTCACTTTAAGTCCCTGGCAGAAGGAATCTCTAGAACATGAGTTATTTAGCTGCGGTCCAGAGATAAGCTTCAGCATGTCTAAAAACCTGTTAAAATTACATGTAAATTTCTGTGGTTTCCCATTTTTGTGAAAATTTTCAAAGGTGTCAGTGGCCCAAAAAATTAAAAGAAATACCCCCTAGAAACTGACTTAACCAACGAACTGCCAATAACCTCAGGAACAAAGCTAACTCAAATTAAAATTTTTATTAATTCATTAATTTGGATTTAAGTTTAATGAATACCAGCAGGAAAGAGTTAAACTCAAGAAGGAGCATATAGTCACAATTATAATTTTAAGGCTGTTTTACAGAGAGGCTCATAAGTAACCTTATGGATTTTTAAACGCTTTCAGCTGCCATACTAAAATACCAATATAATTTCTAACCCTGCCCCACTTTCCTTCTACATTTATGAACTTATACAAGGCATTCCAGTACCTAAGAATTCTCAACAGTATCGATAGTAACCTGGATAAATTATGTTCAGAAATTTTGGCCTGTTTTTCTTTAGAACTAGATTTTTCCTTCACTACAAACCCCATTCCCAAACTTGTATGAACTAGCTACATAATTCTAATACCAAAAAGCCACCAATATTAATCTACTTTCACTATGTCCAAAGAAGATCTTATGAATAAACATGCTATAATCATTCTATAGGACAATTTAGAAAGATGCATCCAAATCTTTATAAAAATGCATATCCTTTAATCCAGTAATTCTACTTCTGAATCCTTACAGAAATAGTAATATATATTTACCAGGAAGTTCATCATGATTTTCTTTATAAGAAAATTTGCAAAACTCAAGTGTTCAATCACAGAGAACAGGTTAAATTAATTATGGCACTGACATATACATGGGGTCAACATGAGTAGGAATCAACTCGACAGCAACTGGTTTTTATAAACAAATAATAAACTTATGCTAAAAATAATAAGGCAAATACATTCCATAATCTGTATTGATATAGAAAGATGACCAAACTATACTGTTCAGAATGAAAAATGGGTTAGAAAACAGTATACATAATATGATCTCATTTTCATTTAAAAAGTATGTTAAGCAAAGAAACAACCAAATATTTTGTGCCTTTTCATGGAAACACACACCACTTTCTATGAAGAAGTCTCAAAAAAATATATATCACACAAACAAACAAGAGCAAAGCATATTCTAATTAAGCCTCTAGACCCAACTACTATATATACCCCTTGCCGTCAAGTCAATTCTGACTCATAGCGACCCTGTAGGACAGAGTAGAACTGCCCCATAGGGTTTCCAAGGAGTGCCTGGTGGATTTGAACTGCTGACCTTCTGGTTAGCAGCCAAATTCTTAACCGCTATGCTACCAGAGTTTCCAGCTACTATCTATTGGGAATAAAATGGCCAGAAGAATATGATAAACATTACCACGGAGACGCAATGAGCAAAATTCTACACCACTCTAAACAACAAACCTGGTTTCTTCTACAATTAAATTGTAAGGGGAAAAAAAGAAGGAAAGAGATGAAGGAGGAACCAGTAAATTTAAAAAAAATGTAAGAGACATACAATTAATTGCAAGATGTAAACTTTATTTGGATCCTGATTCGTAATAAAAACTATAAAAACAAAATTATGACACCTACGAGATAACTGAAAATTAAAGCATTGCCTGGGTGAATATTTGATATAAGAAATTTGATTTTTAGTTAGTTTTTGAAGAGTCTATCTTTTAGAGGTACATATTAGAATATGTACAGTACATACAGAGGTGCATACTGAAACAAACATAAAATATTTGTTTCAAAATAATATGAGGTAGGGGTAAGGTAAGTGGATGGAAGTATAGGTGAAATAAGATTGCCCATGAGTTGATAACTATTGGAGCTGGGTGAGTGGAATATGGAGGTTTCATTATACTGTTTCATCTACCTTTACATATGTTTAAAATTTTTCCATATAGAAATATTGAAAAATATTTATGCGTATAAATTTGCATAGAAAAAGTTACAGAAAAATATACACCAAACAGCAATTACTTTCAGATAGCTTAACGGGATTTTTAATTTTTTTTCTTTATTCATTTGTGTTCCTTTTTTTTCCCCCATAATAAACAAGTTTTAATTACATGTTTAAAATAAAGGTAAAAAATAAAATTTTAAAATGCTAAACTAGCCCCAGGAATCTCACACTTTAAATAGCAAACGCAATACTTCTGACTCCTAACTGATTGCTGCAGAGTACAGGTGCCAGAATAATGAAAGCTATAAACCAATAATTTTAGCTTAAAGAAAAGAGGAAAAAAGAATCTCTTAAGTAGTTCACTCTACATCTTTCTAAATTTAGACGAGAGGATTTTGTGGCTGGTTCAACAAAGAAGTTAATTATATTCTAGAAACCAGTATTACCCTAAGGATAACAAGTCCAAAACTGTTACCAGCAATGTAAAGTATTCCTACCCCAATTCTGTAATAAATTTGTTGCACTGTGATTTCTTAGCACCTCCCATTGTTCTAGAAGTGCTGTCAAGTATGCTCTATTAAAAAAAGAAAAGACAGCTGTGTCTTACCGCTGGCAAAGAATGTCGCCCACATTCAATTGTGACAAGTTTGTGGCACTTCTTATGAACCAGCAGTTTGCAGTTGATGCACTTATATCCCTGGCGTCCAAGTCCCCATATTCGGTCAGTGCAGATGGCACAGTGAGCACGCTGGAAAGAGTAATTCAACAATATTTTATTAACAAAAATTCAACTGTTTCCTAATGTTTATTCATAAAATAGTGAAAACAAGTGGCTTTCCTCTCCAACCCAATTCCCCCCATCATGGTGTCAAAAAAAAAAAAAAAAATCTTCCCCATACGTAATTTTTCAAAATCTATGAAGGTCAGGGAAAAATAAACAGGTAAGAGAGCTTGCTTATAAGAGACATCAAAATTTGCAACCATGCTGCTTTCTGTTCTAAGTCCAAGAATTTCAGTCCTCATATAATTAGGAGCAGTGAAAGCAGGAAAAGTGAATTAAACTTGAAAAACATATAGCAGAGAAAGCTTTACAAGGACAACTCCCAAACAAACATAAAACCTCCCAGACTGATCAGAGGTCAAACCAAAGCCCTGATCTTTTGAAGAACAATACCTAAGGTGCCTTTTCATTTCAGAGCCTTTTTAGTATCGGTGCTACTGGGAAGAAAAGAGTTTAGCTTCAATTTACATTAACAAATTTAAAACATGGCATTAGTTCTAGGATGAAAACGGAGTAAACTATATGAATTTGTGGTTATCAAGATTAGTTAAAAACATGGGCTTCTGGGGACAGACTGCCTGCAATCAAACCTTGGCTCTGTCACTGACTAGCTGTGTCATCTTGGGCAAGTTGCTTAACTCCCTGCACCTCAGTTTCCTCATCTATAAAATGGAAACATACAGTACCTATCTCACAAGGGTCATGTGAAGATTAAATGCATCAATACATGTAAAGCATTTAGAAGTGGTATATAGTAAAAGCTAGGAAACTGCTCGCTATTATTATATTCTAAATAATGAAAATTATAACATTAAGTGATTTGCAAAATAAACCTTATTTTCTGGCTACCTGAATTTTATATATGTTTTCTTTTTTAAAAAAAAAATTTCTTACAGCTTGAGTGACCATGTAATTAGTGAAACCTGTGAGAACCGGAACGGGAGAGGACTGCCTTGTTTTTCTGGGTCTCGCAAGTTTTCCGCCTTTGACAGGTTGCAGTCTTACCACTTTTCTATCATTTTAGTGGAAAATATTTGAGTTTTCCTTCTCTGACAGGTTTCCGCTTTACATAGGTTCCGGTTTTTGCAGGTGTTACTGTAATCCAATCTGAAACATTTTTTCAGAGTGAAAAAAGACTATTAAAAATTACCTCTGGACATTAGTAGGGAATACATGGCCACCCTACTTATTTCATTAAAAGGGAATAACAAGACTACCTTTCTTTCATATTAGAAATTAAAAGAATAGATGTCTCAACTTATCGACAGTCAACAAGATAAACTTACTCTGTTGAAACGCTTGGCTTGGAAAGTATGGCCATTTGCACAATAAAGCTTTCTCCAGCGGCGTGCACCTCGGCGGTAGATGGATTCTGAAGAGAGATTTAAAATTTTAGGTTAAAAAAAAAAAAATGAAGAATGTGAATAAAAGTCATTTTATAATTAAGTCTGTGATTCTTTTCATGATACTCACTGGAAGAAAAAAATTATGAAAACCTGAAAGAGTAAAATACACACAAGGAACTAGATAATTTTAAATTAAGCTCAAGGAGAATAAATGTTTGAATAACTATTATTGCTTTCCTCCCCCAACTTTTTTTTTTTTAAATGCACTTTATTTTTTAGAGCAGTTTTAAATTCACAGAAAAACTGCATAAAGAGTTCCCTTCTACCTCTTCTCTCTCCTGCATACAGTTTCTCCTATTATTAACAACTTGCATTGGTGTGGCACATTTGTTAAACTTGATGAACCAATACTGATACATAATTATTAACTAAAGTCCAAAGTTTGCATTAGGGTTCACTCTTTGTGTGGTACAGTTCTGAGTTCTGACAAATATTGACATGTATCCACGATTACAGTACTATGCAGAACAGTTTCACTGCCCTTAAAATGTCCTGTGCTTTACCTAATCATCCTTCCCCTCCCCCAATCACTGATCTTTTAACTGTCTCTATACTTTTGGAATCCTATACTGTATATAAGCATTTAAAGCTCTTCTGTATCTTTTCACATCTGGATAGCTCATTTCTTTTTATCACGAAATAATATTCCATTGTATGAGTATACCACAGTTTCTTTATCCATTTACCTACTTAAGGACATTTTGGTTTCTTCCAATTTTTGACAATTATAAATAAAGCTGCTATAAACATCCCCCTTCCAATTTTTTATTTTGAAATTTAAGCCCACAGAAAAACTGCAAGAATAGAAAAATAAACACTTGTATATCCTTCACCTAGATTAACAATTATTAGCATTTTGCCACATTTGCTTTCTTCTCTGTATACATACACTTTTTTTTCTGAATCATTTGAAAGTAAGCTATAGACATCATGTCTGCACCCTTAAATGTCTTAGTATCCACTGCCTGAGATTAAGGACATTCACCCTAATTTGACACAAGCACAATACCATTACCATGTCTTAGAAAATTAACATTAATTCAACATCAGCTACTATATAGTCGATAAGCAAACTTCCCTAAGTATCCTCAAAATGTCTTTCAGAGCATTTTTTGTCAATCCAGAATCTAGTCAAGATGCAGGTTTGCATTTGGTTATGCTTGTCTTTTTAATGTGTTCTGAAACATTTACTCTGCCTTTGTTATTGCATATTTTTCCTGATGTAGGCTTTTTTTTCAGTCTAGGCAGTTGTCTTATAGAATGTCCCATATTTTGGATTTGTCTGTTCTAAAGGTAAATGCTTTTTGCAAAAGTATTACATAGATGATGCTGTGTATTTCTTACTGAATAATATCACAAGGAATGTAACTGCCAGACTGCTGACTTCCACTGCTGCTGTTTGATCACTTAAAGGTAGTGATTGCTAGCCCTCTTCATTATAAAGGTACATTTTATTTTTTCTAAGTAATCTGTAAGTGATATTTTGTGATGACAAGAATATTCTCTTCCCCAGCCAGCACAACCTGTACAAGAAAAGGTCATAGAAACTCCATAGACACATCCAACCCTTAGGGACCGAACTGCTGGGTGGAGGGCTGTGGGGACCATGATCTCAGGGAACATCTTGCTCAATTGACCTAACACAGTTTATAAAGAAAATGTTCTACATTCTACCTTGGTGAGTAGCGTCTGGGGTCTTAAAAGCCTGTGAGCAGCCATCTAAGATATTCCACTGGTCTCACCCCTTAGGGAGCAAGGGAGAATGAAGAAAACAAGATACAAGGGAAAGATCAGTCCAAAGAATTAATGGACCACAACCACCATGGCCTCCACCAGTCTGAGTCCAGTAAAACTAGACGGTGCCTGGCTACCACCAGTGACTGCTCTGACAGGTATCACAACAGAGGGCCCAGACAGAGCTGGAGGAAAATGCGGAACAAAATTTTGACTCACAAAAAAAGATCAGACTTACTGGTCAGACAGAGACTGGAGAAACCCTGAGAGTATGGCCCTCAGACACCCTTTTAGCTCAGTAATGAACTCACTCATGAGGTTCACCCTTCAGCTAAAGATTAGACAGCCCCAAAGAACAAACGAGACTAATGGGGCACAACAGCCCAGGACAAGGACTAGAAGGTAGGAGGGGACAGGAAAGTTGGTAATAGGGAACCCAAGCTTGAGAAGGGAGAGTGTTGACATGTCATGGGGTTGTTAACCAATGTCATAAAACGGTATGTGTACTGTTTAATGAGAAACTACTTGTTCTGTAAACCTTCATCTAAAGTACAATGGAAAAAAAAAGAACATTCTCTTCCCCAACAACCTTTCATCCAATGGCTTTAATATTAATACTTTTCCTAAACACACTTATAAAAAGAGGTTCCAAAAGATCAAATGTAGTTAATCTCCATAATTTTCATAAAGTTAATCACTATTATATATATTGCCTATTATTCATTAAATGTTAATACTGTGGAAAGATTCCATTTGGGTTCGAAACTTATATTTTAAAGCAAATATAGCACAGTGTTTACTATGTAAAATTAAGATAAAAGAGACCATTCCCAATGCTCTGAATTAGAAACACTGAGATAGTATAATACAGAACCTCAAATACAGATGCTTTTATTTTTAATAATTTATTTTGTTAGCAGCAGCCAAAGCAGAAAGTTTCCGTTAATAGTGTTTTAACTAAAAGAAATGTCCTATTTCAGAAGCTTTCATGAACTACAACTTGACATACCTTAAACATTTTATTGTTGCATAGTAATTTGGAGGGCCAAGAGACCACATTAATGGTTATCATTTTTCCTCCATGTTCTAGTTCAATAATATTTACACTGAGGCAAGAGGGTGGTGTCAAAATCCCCACCAATAAAATTGAAACAGGGAAAGTGAGCATGAAGTAGAATGAAAACTTAGGAAATTATATTATATGGAAAGTGTGCTATATCCATAATCGATTTGGAAATGGGACTCTAGAACTGAGGAGATCTGCAAAAATGGCAAGTCTTTTAAAAAGGAAGATAGCTGCTTCTCCATCAGCTCTGTGAAGGCAGCACACATATGGCTTTAACCAATCTGCCACTGAACTCCAGTGAAATGTTGTTGTACTTGTTGGTTGCTGTCGAGTCCATTCCAACTCATGGCAACCCCATCTCTGCAGAGCAGAACTGCTCCATAGGGTTTTAAAGGCTGGGACCTTTCAGAAGCAGTTCGCCAGGCCTATCTTCTGAGGAACCTCTAGGTGGGCTCGAACTGACAAGCTTTTGGCTAGTAGTTGGGCACTTAACCATTTGCACCAACCAGGGACTTTATTATGTATATACATGCATGTATATGTGTATATATATAGATACAGAGATAAAGCAAACAGAAAATGTTAACAATCGGTCAATCTAGGTAAAGGATATATCTTTGTTTTCAATTTCTCCACACATTTGAAAATTTTTGAAATTAAAAAGTGGGAAGAACACTTTAAAATTAATTTTACTTCCCATTCATATGCACAACAATTACGTGAGTAAGTTGCAACTTGAAAACTTTGTGAATTTGATCTGGCAAGATGTAGAGTTTAAGAAAAAGAAACAGTAATTGCTAATCTTCGAGTTTAAGAAAAAAGACAGCAGTTGCTAATATACTCTAAGTTAAACTGAAAACTGGAAAAGAAGTCAGATGAATTAAAAGTTCTGTTTCTATGTAAGCAGCTACCAGAGCTGGAAGAGGCAAAGAATGGATTTTTCCCTAGCACCTCTAGAGGAAGTACGGCCCTGCTGACACCTTGATTTTCACTTTGGACTTCTGGCCTTAGAACTGTGAGATAATAACTTTCTATTGTGATAAGCAAAAAAAAGAAAAGTTCTAGTTTTGATTTCTTTTCACTTGTTCCATCATGTCATAAATAACTTTTTTCAAGTTATTTTTAAGTACAAAGTATATAAACACTCACTATCTTCTCCTGGACAGGGCATTCCAGGACGTTCTGGTACACAAGGGAATACTGAAAGACAATAAGCTAAAATTAATACAGCATCTTTTAAGACATACAAATTAGATAATTAAATACAAATTATGTGGAATTCAAATTAAATTCAAATATCAAAACTACTGAACCAAATTTTAACCCGATCCTTAATATATACACAGTGTGTTAAATGGGATCTACGTGTCATAAAACTTGAGAGGTAGCATGCAGAATGAAAACAACATAGATTTGGAAACAAAACAGTACCTAGTTTCACAGTGTCGACGATGTTTCAGTTATATGGCTGCAGAGTTTAGGTTTCTTTTTCTACATCACTACCTACCTCTCAGCGTTGCTGACATTTAAATACACTAAGGTCTATGAAATATCATGTAAATGGTTTCACTATTAACTCTTCAACTAAAACATACCTTACCTTTAGAGATCATTATGTGCATACATTACAAAACTGCAAGAAGATGGCTTAGGTTCACTAGGCTATCAGTTCTTAAACTCCATCCTAAACTTTGATGTGTTTAACACTGAGAGATCACATTTTCATATCTAGGAAGGCATTTTCCAAGACAATAAAAGGCAGATTAATTTTACCTTCTCCAGCATTTGAGAAAAGTCTTTAAAAGCAAAGATGTCACCTTGAGGAATAAGGTGCACCTGACCCAAGCCATGGTATTTTCAACTGCCTCATAAGCATGCGAAAGCTGGACGATGAATAAGGAAGACCGAAGAAGAACTGATGCCTTTGAATTATGATGTTGGTGAGGAATATTGAATATACCATGGACTGCCAGAAGAAAAAACAAATCTGTCTTGGAAGAAACACAGCCAGAATGTTCCTTAGAAACGAGGATGTCGAGACTGTCTCACGTACTTTGGACATGTTATTAGGAGGGGCCAGTCCTTGGAGAAGGACATTATGCTTCGCAGAGGGTGGGTGAAAAAGAGGAAGACTCTCAACATGGACTGACACAGTGGCTGCAACAATAGGCTCAAACATAGCAACCAGGGGCCTAACTATGGAAAATAGCGCCCAGGGCAATTAGTGTTAAACTGCTGAATAATCTCTCACAGCTGGCGATGAAAAATTGTGATGGCCAATGGAAACTGCTAATTGGCGCCCCGCCTCAAGCAGTACCCAGGGCACACACACGCAGCCCAGGGCACGCGCTCCTCACGCCAACCAAGTTAGGCCTCTGACAACAGTGATTGTGAGGATGGCTCAGGAGCAGGCAGTATTCTGTTCTCTTGTACATAGGGTAGCTATGAGTCAGAACCCATTCAATGGCACCTAACAACAAGAAGCATTTGAGAAACTACTGAATAAAAACAATTAATTAGCAATGAAGAGTAGAGATTAAGAAAATTACATCAGGATTATTTTTAAAATGGTCAAGTAATTATAGTCCTAGAAGAGTGAGAAACAACTACTCCTTTACCGTGAATTAAGAGTTCAGAATCCTTGTTTAGCTCATAAAGCCTAAAGGCTTCTTCTAACTCCAGTTGAGATGATACTGTACACGGGTCTCCTAAAAAATACAAAAAGTAAAGCTTACTTTTTAAAATCATTAAATGTGATGATTAATAATTTCCTAAAATAAAATCTGGAGGAAAAACAATTTTATATATACATAGAAAAATATTCGATAAAGACAAATCCTTAGATAATTAGAAAATTCTATTTTCTGAAGTGGATGGCATAGCTTCCATGCCTACAAAATATTACTTGAAGTTCACAGACACCAAATTTTATACATTTAAAACCATTTTGTTCTTTTTTTCTATTTTATTGGGTTTTTGTAAAAGTTAACACAGCAAGTTAGGTACCCATTTGACAATTTCACAAATTGTTCAGTGACTTTAGTTACATTTATCACAACGTGTGTTTACACTTACCTATACTTCTATCTGTTCTCACCTCACCTATGTACACACCAATACCTACCAATATGCCTATACCCATTCATATGTGCTCACATACTCATTTTTACTTTGGTTGTGCTGTGCTCATTACACTCACATTCGGTATACTTTTCCCATCACCAAAAATAAGTCTCTACGATTTAAAGCATACTTGCTCCGCACCCCCCCCAACTCTCCCTGGTAACCACCAGTAACCACTGGTCTCTCTCTCTCCATGTAACTATTCTTGTGTTCTTACAAAAGAGGGATCATACAATATTTGCCCTCATACTCTTGACTTAAACTTTCATTCCCATTATGCCCTCCAGGTCCATCCATTTTATGTTTCACAGACTGATTGTTCTTTATGGTTGTGTCGTATTCCATTATACGTATGTACCACAATTTGCTTATCCATTCATCCACTGATGGACACTTCAGTTGTTTCCATTTATTTACTACTGAGAATAAAGCAGCAATGAATATAGGTGTGCACATATCTGTTCCTGTCATTATTTTTAGGTCTGTAGGGTAGTTCAAACCCACCAGCTGCTCTGTGGGAGACAGATGTGGTTTGCTTCCATAAAGATTACAGCCTTGAAAACCCTATGGAGCAGTTCTACTCTATCCTGTAGGATCACTATGAGTCAGAATAGACTCCATGGCAACGGGTTTGGTTTGGTTATGGTTAGGGTATACACCTAGGAATGGGACTGCAGGATCATAAGGTAGTAAAACCATTTTATTCTTCACACTGTATATATTCAAAATACAGCAAACAAAACTTACCATGAAAACATTTAAATTATCACTGCAATATGACTAATATGGATAGCCAGGAACAAATTTTCTGTTACTGGTTTCTTTAAAAGAGTAACTGAAAGTAATCCTACTACCACTGTAGAGCTGGTTAGAGGTCTCCACGTAATCATTATTAGATTTGTTGTTGTTGTTGTTAGGTGCCATCAAGTCAGTTCTGACTCATAGCGACCCTATGTACAACAGAACGAAACACTGCCCGGTCCTGCGCCATCTTCACAATTGTTGTTATGCTTGAGCCTGTTGTTGCAGCCACCGTGTCAATCCATCTTGTGGAGGGTATTCCTCTTTTGCGCCGACCCCTCTACTTTACCAAGCATGATGTCCTCCTCCAGGGACTGGTCCCGTCTGATAACATGTCCAAAGTGTGTGAGATGAAGTCTTGCCATCCTTGCTTCTAATGAACATTCTGGCTGTACTTCTTCCAAGACGGATTTGTTTGTTCTTCTGGCAATCCATGGTATATTCAATATTCCTTCTCAACACCATAATTCAAAGGCATCAATTCTTGTTCGGTCTTCCTTATTCACTGTCCAGTTTTTGCATGCATATGAGGTGATTGAAACTACCATGGCCTGGGTCAGGCGCACCTTAGTCTTAAAGGTGACATCTTTGCTTTTTAACACTTTAAAGAGGTCTTTTGCAGCAGATTTGCCCAATGTAATGTCGTTTGACTTCTTGTCTGCTGCTTCCGTGGGTGTTGATTGTGGATCCAAGTAAAATGAAATCTTTGACAACTTCAATCTTTTCTGCTTATGATGATGTTGCTTATTGGTAGAGTTGTGAGGATTTTTGTTTTCTTTATGTTGAGGTGTAATCCATACTGAAGGCTGCAGTACTACTTTGATCTTCATCAGTAAGTGCTTCAAGTCCTCTTCACTTTCAGCAAGCAAAGTTGTGTCATCTGCATAACACGTTGTTAATGAGTCTTCCTCCAATCCTGATGCCCCATTCTTCTTCATATAGTCCAGCTTCTTGGATTATTTGCTCAGCATACAGATTGAATAAGTACGGTGACAGGATACAACCCTGACACATACCTTTTCTGATTTTAAACCATGCAGTACCCCTTGTTCTGTTTGAACGACTGCCTCTTGATCTACGTACAGGTTCCTCAGGAGCACAATTAAGTGTTCTGGAATTCCCATTCTTCACAATGTTATCATAATTTGTTATGATCCACACAGCCAAATGCCTCTGCATAGTCAACAAAACCCAGGTAAGTATCTTTCTGGCATTCTCTGCTTTTAGCCACGATCCATCTGACATCATATATATAGGTATGTATATATGTATGTATGTAAGTATATATATATATAAGTGTATATATATAAGGTCACTATGAGTTGGAATCAATTTGATAGCAACAGGTTTTTATTAGATTTAGCTACAGATTTTGCCAAAGTTTTCCCTTCACGTAAGAGCCTGCTCAAAGAGGTCACAAAAAGGAAGCACAGCCACTAAGGTACTCTTGATTGAAGAACAGTCCTACTGGAGCTGCTTTTAAAATAAATGCATAGTTGCAGTAAACATTCATAGTCTGGATGAATGTACGGATGAACTAGCCAAAGAACTGACTCATCCTTGGCAATCAACGAGATGGTACATGTTCCTGGAAGAAGGCATTCTTCAATGAAACAGTCACCTTGAAGACATAGTTGGGGCCTGAGCTCGTTCGTCCACACTGCCATTCTTCTGTTCATTCCTGTGGTTACATCAAACTTTATCATATACTAGATACTACACACTATCCAAAACTCAATCACTGTTCACAGTGAACTCAGCCTAACTTTAGAGAGAAAAATGAAGTCCTCTCATCTCCTTTCTTGCTGTCTCAAAAAAAATGGGTGTCTCTATTCTTTTCTCTGACCTTGGCCACTGAATCCCTACTTACTTTTATCTTCTCTGGGAGTTATTCCATTACTCCCTCTCTGTTCCATTTCAATTTTTTCTTTCTTTCCACTAGCTATTCTCAGGCAAAGGCATGTTTGCATCTCCCCCTCAAACACCTCTCTCCCACACAGGTTGCTATTCCATTCATTCAGTAGCCACACATCTCAAGAGTAAACTGTACACTGAGACTGGTGGGGGTCGGTGAGAAGCAGGGGGAGAAAAAGGGACAGAGTCTTTGATTTTTCATTTTATACTTTTATTATTTTTTAAATTTAAATTTATAGTATTTTTATTATTGAGAATTATCCCACCCTGTTGTTAACCATTGTCATAGGGCAATATGTGTACTAACTGTTTAATGAGAAACTATTTGTTCTGTAAACCTTCATCTAAGGTACAAAAAAAAAAAAAATTATCTATGTGAGATCAAACTGACAACAGCAACTCAAAAGATTTGATGGGAAGCCTACGAGGCAGTGAGTTGAAGATAATGATGATGGAATAATTTGGAAAAGGATAGTGAGAGTAGCAGAACAACTGGAAGAATGTAATCGATGTCACTGAATTGAACATGTAGAAATTTTTGAAATGGTGTCACTTTGGCTATGTATAGTTTCACCAGAAAAAAAAAAAGTCCCCCAAGGTCGAGAAGTAAGAGTGTTGACATGTTGTGGGGTTGTTAACCAATGTCATAAAACAGTATGTGTACTGACTGTTTAATGAGAAACTATTTGTTCTGTAAACCTTCATCTAAAGTACAATAAAAAAAAAAAATTATCCCACTCGGCTGTCTCCATGTTCTTATCTTTTATTCGTTTCTCAAAATGCTACTATAAGGTTTTAATTCAAACGCTCCACTAAAACTGCTATAGCAAAGGTCCCAAAAATAACCGCCAACATCAATGGCACCTCTTCAAGTCTTTATGATAGTTGACCCTTCTACAGCATCTGACAAAGTTGTCCACTGACTATTTATAGAAACTCTGTGTCTAGGTTTCTAAAACACCATTCTCCTGGTTCACTAATACTTCTCTTTAAATTTTTATTTTGAAAATTCTCAAACATTATAAAATCTTATTTCACCTGTATATCCACTCACTTATCCCCTTCCAATGTATTATTTTGAACAAACCCCTGTATCGCTAAAAGATAAAAATTCCTTAATATAATCACAGTACCATTATTAACCTATAAAAATTAACAGTGCCCTATAAAATATCCAGACAATATTCACATTTCCACAACTGTTTCAACTTATTTTTTTTTTAATACATATTTTGGATTATTTGAGTCAAGGTCCAAACAATGTCCACATAATACTCTTTTACTCTACAGGTTCTCCTTCCTTTTTTTCCCCATGCACTTCAGTTTGTTGAAGAAACTAGGTCACCTGTTCTACAGTTTCCGCCATCTGGATTTTTTATATTTGTATCCCTGTGATGTCATTTAACATATTTCTCTGTCCTCTGTATCGGTTGTATACTGGTGGTTAAAATCAGAAGCTTCATTAGATTTGAGTGTAGCAAACTTAGCCAGACTACTTCCTAGATGATGTTGCATGCTTCCTATTGTACCACATCAGGATGTCTTCTAACAGCTCTTCTCAGACTTTTTTTTTTTTTGAAGCTATAAGGCTTAGGTTTTTGGTTAATGTATTTGTTTTGTTTTTTTAACTGTACTTTAGATGAAGATTTACAGAACAAACTAGTTTCTCATTAAATGGTTAGTACACATATTGTTTTATGACACTGGTTAACAACCCCACAACATGTCAACACTCTCCTTTCTCGAGCTTGGGTTCCCTATTACCAGCTTTTCCATCCCTTCCTGCCTTCTAGACCTTGTCCCTGGGCTCTTGTGCCCCTTTAGTCTTGTTTTGTTTTATGGGCCTGTCTAATCTTTGGCTGAGGGGTAA